GCTTCCCAAGTATTTGAAGCTGTTTACATTTGTCAACTGGCTGTTGTCAACAGTGATTTTTGATTCTAAGGGGTTGGTATGTGTCACGGTCTTGTAAAGAACTCCAGTCTTGTTCAGGCTGATAGGCCAAAGAGCATAGTAGTATCTGAGAATTTGTTCAGCATCAACTGTACATTATTGTCTCTGTGTGCCAGGAGCACCCAGTCATCAGCAAAGAGGATTTCTTAAATGATTATATGGAGGCATTTGGTCCATGCCTTCAAAGAGCGAAGGCCAAAAAGAGAGTCATCCAACTGGTACCTGATGTACACTCCCTCCTTCAGACCTTGGACAGCGTGTGTCAACATGCAAGTGAAGAACATATTGAACAGGACTGGGGCTAGTACACAACCCTGCTTCACCCCATTGGAAATGGCAAATGCAGCCATTTGTATCACTTTTGTAAAGAGCCTGTTCTGTCATTCCATCATGGAGCAGCTGAATCAACTTCACAAATTTCCTTGGGCATCCATAACATCTCAGGATGATCCAGAGAGCCTCCCTGTTTACAGCATCAAATACCTTTGTCAGGTCAATGAAGACAGAGTAAAGAGGCTTGTTCTGGTCGATGCACTTCTCCTGGACTTGCCTCATGGCAAATATTATGTCTACTGTACTCCATTCTGGCCAAAAGCCACACTGCACCTCTGGGAGTTTTCTGTCTGAGACAGTAACAGGTCCGTTCAGGAAAACGCAGGCAAAAATCTTGCCTGCAACAGACAGCAGTGAGATACCCCTGTAATTTCCACAGTCTGATTTGTTTCCCTTATTTTTATAGAGAGCCTTGGTGAGGGCATTGTGGACATCATCAGGCATCTCCTTTGGAACCAAATATCTTCCAAGATGTTTTGGAACATCCGTAAGGTGTTTGGGTCTAGTGTTTTGTAGATCTCAGCAGGAATGTTATCCTGCCCTGTTGCTTTATTTGAGTTCATCTGTGAGATTGTTTTCCTGATTTCATCAATAGATGGAGGCAAGTCTAGAGCATCCAAGACTGGATTCTGAGGAATCTGCTGTAAGATTCCTTACAGCCAATATACAGCAGCCAAAAAGATTTCTTACAGCCAATATGCAACCAACATGCAGCACCCAATATAATATGGCCAAACAAGGTTGTCTTTATTCAGGCACAAAGTCAGTGTGCATTCATTGATGCAACAACATTAACAGAAAGATGTATCTCCTGAAACATAATTCATGCTCAGCCTGTTTTTTAACTTCTCAATGTAGGGCTGAGATGCAGCATCCAGATCTTTATCTGATATTTATCTACAGCATCTGATTTTTATCTATAACAGATTTCAAACTATGGCCACCCATAACAGAGTATTTTGAGCTAAGTGTCTGCAGTTTGGAATTGTTCTAACCTCTGGATTATTTATTTATTTATTTATTGTGTGTCTTTGAGTCATTCTTGATCCCTGGCAACTGCCTGAACAAGTCCATACAGCTTTCTTGGTAAGGCTTTTGGAAGTAATTTACCATTGCCTTCTTCCTAGGGTTCAGAGAGAACAACTGGCCCAAGGTCAACCAGCTGCTTTCTGCCTAAGGCAGGACTAGAACTCATGGTCTCCTGATTTTTAGCTTGGTGTCTTAACCACTACATCAGACTGGTTATCTAACCTCTAGAATATGCCAATGTTTTATAGAGACTCCACATGAAATAATAATATTAATATACCAGATGGTATAGCAGAGTAGCCCTGATTCATCCACACTCACAGAAAATAATTTTAAAAGGAGCATATATCCACTTTTCAAATATCTTTCCCATGCTTTCTTTCTTCTTTCTTTTCTTTAGCTCACCTATGGCTCTGCTTCTGAGATAAGTAAGAAAACTCAGACCATTTTGTACCACCAGATGTTCCCAAATGTCAACAGACAATACAAAGGAATTCTCCAGTTACTCTTGCATTTCCAGTGGACATGGATTGGGGTATTGTATGACAATGATGACAACGGAGAGAGGTTTGTCCAGAATGTAGTTCCTTTGTTTTCCCAGAAAGGTATCTGCTTTGATTTCATTGAAAGATTCCCAACAATCACTTTTGTTGATAACATAGATAAGATGGTGACAGAAGGATTTAAAACATACAGTATTGTAATTGAAAGCACTGCTAATGTATCTGTTATTTATGGTGATATTAAGACCATGATATTTATAAGAATGTTTCCCACCATATTAAAATATGAGAATGTTGCACAAATAGCGGTAGGTAAAGTCTGGGTTCTGACAGCTCAGATGGAGTTCACATCACTTCCCTTTCAAAAGCACGAGAATATAGACTTCCTCCATGGTGTTCTGAACTTTGCAGTCCATTCAAAGGAGATATTGGGGTTCCAGGAATTTCTTCATATGAAAAAACCTATCTTGGAAAAAGAAGACAGAGATGGTTTTATTTGGGTCTTCTGGAAGGAGGCATTTGAATGTTTGTTCCCTGGATCCATGTTGGACAGGCACGCAAGAGTCACCTGCACTGGTGTGGAGAAGCTGGAAACTCTTCTTTCATCCATTTTTGAAACAAGCATGACTGCCCATAGCTACAGCATCTATAATTCAGTCTATGCTGTGGCACATGCTTTATATGCCATGCTTTCCTTGAAAGTGAAGAGGACAGCACGTGTCCATGAAGCAAGAGAGATCATTCTGGATCAACATCTCTGGGAGGTAATATTTTGTGCAAGATGATATGAGGGAACTCATCTTGAGAGAAATACTCTTTTCCCCTTGCCAGATCATTACGAGGTTGCAGGATTGTTAGCCCTTTGAGGTACATCAGACTAGGGCACCAAAGTTATGAATGATAATACTACTTTTATTATAAGATTACAGTAACAGAATTGCACAAGTCTGAATATACTTTCTCCTTCCCTCCCTTTGTCTTTGTGAGAACTAGGGAGGGTCATGTCTGAGACACTTTCCCATATTACATTCTAACCTTGAACTCAAATTTCTTTTATCTGACCACTGACTTGGTTGTGGCTCTTCCTCCTATTCCTCAAGGATATTCCTACTGCCCATTACAAGGACATGTTCATCAGTCAATGATACATCTTCCTAGAAGCCCCTAATATGCAATTTGTCTTCAAGGGATCAGGCTGAGAATTCCTGCAAAAATGTTTGAATTCATGCTTCCTGATTATTTTCTCTTTCATTACAATACCATTTCGATTCATGTTGTTTGCCTTCTTCTGCTATTCAACATGGAGTAGATCTTCTTTTGCCCAGGAGATCAAATTCAGATGGGGAAAGGTTAATATCCTTTAATATATCCTGATGAAATGTTCCCTTCCCTTCCCTTCCCTTCCCTTCCCTTCCCTTCCCTTCCCTTCTCTCCAGCTCAACTATTTTGTGAGAAATATCTCATTTAATAACAGTGCTGGGGAAACAGTTTTCTTCAATCCAAATGGAGAACTGGAAACTGGATTTGATATTATCAATTGGATTATATTCCCCAACCAATCCTTCCTTAGAGTCAAAGTTGGAGAGCTACAACCCCTGTCTTCCACGGAAGAAATGTTCACTATTTCAAAGGAAGCCATAATCTGGCCAAACAGGTTTAACCAGGTAGGGTTCTGCCACATGTTGGCCTCTTCCATGGTAGATGTCCATGGTAATGTGTCTTCCTCCTGTCCTTGAGTTGGGAGGAATGTATATTAATATAAAAAGTGGTGTTCCCACATTCTATATTTACTAAGCCATTTGAAAAAGATAAGTGTTGCTGCCCACATGCACTGTAATGTAGGTAGTATCAGGGCAAACATAGATAGAATGCCTTCTTTCTATCTCCCATCATCATATATCCATGGGAAAACTAGTTTTCAATTGCGCTGCTAAACAGGGATGGGAGGGCAGAGAAGTCAATACTGCAGTCAAAATAAGAATTTTGCTAATCTGAGGTTATTGCAATGATTGATCTTCCACTGGAAGGACAAAACTCAGACAGCACAAAACCATAGGAAAGAACCTTTACAGCTGCATGAATCCAACTTAGAATCCTGCTGCAGTAATGTTTTCTCTTCTTCTGGGGGCTGGAAATCATGTATCATTTTTCTAAGAAGTTCTAGTCATAAGAATATCAGCCCTTCAATATTCCTAGGAAAAGAACTTTTTTTAAAAAAATTACATGGCTTCTATCCTCAAAGAAAAATCACCAATGAAAGAAACACTTTAAAAATCAGCCAGAGTAGAGTTCCAGCAAAACTGTTTCTGATTACATTTATAGCCAATTCATATATTACAATTACATTCCTTCCAGGGCGGTCAGAATTTTTCTTATTAGGAATAGATAGTAATATAAATGATAGGATCCTGTATGTCTGACTTCACATCAATTCATTAAAGTCTCCAGAGACACTTGAAAGAGACTTTAATTGTGTGTACCAATGGGAATTATATTTACATTAAATATTATTTATATTAGAATAATCTAACATTATATTTATTCATGCAATTTATTCTCAAAGGCTGTAAATTTGATAT